GAACTCTCCATCTTCAGTGATCGTGTTGATTCTCCTGAGCTCTGATACCAGTTAGGATCAAATCAAGAACACTCACAGAAATCCGATGAAGAAGGTGAAGAAAAAACGAGAGAGTAAAAGTAGAGAGAAAGTGAAACACGTGAAATAACGTGGTAACACCCCGTGAGTAAACTTCCACGGCGGCTAGATGTGTTTATTGATGATTTCAGGCAGATACAATTACAGAGAATTTGACTCTTGCCTCTCTACAAAAATTAGCTACAAAGGAGAATATATATAGGCATTACAACCTCTACTTACTTAACCATTAAGAAAACTTAGTCATTAAGCAAACTTAGCCATTAAGTAAACTTAACCATTAAGAAAGCTTAGCCATTAAGTAAACTTTGCCATTAAGTAAACTTAACCATTAAGCAAACTTAATCATTAAGCATCAGGCTCCATAACCTAACACCACTCTCTAGGGTTACGTCCCACAAACAGAGGAACATCAAATTTAGGGTTGACAGGGAACTGATTTCTACCTTCATTACGTGTAGAAGAGCTTTTTCCTGAAGATGGATGGCCGCATCTAGATCATTGCAGATATTGTAATTGAATCGCAAGTAGTATAATGTGTTCTTCCATCATCTTTCTTTGTTCAAGAAGCTGACTATTCATCTCTTCATGATATTGTTCGAACATCTTCTGGATTGTATCCTGATTCCTGACTATCCTCCATCTTTGGCTTTTGAGCCTTGCAGGCGTCTAGGCCAGGTCAATCAACGATGGAACAAAATCAGATCAGCGGCAACACGAATCGATCGCTCGATACCAAATCAATCAATCAATTCAATCGATTCAGGTTCGAGAATGCTCTGATGCCATTGTTAGAGTTTCCTTCCTAGGAAGCTACTTAAAATGGAGAAAGAGAGCTTCGAAGAAATCTGCAAGAGCGTAAATGGTGGCTGAGACAGAATCAGAGAGAGAAGATGGATTTGAGGAAGAAGATGTATTTTCATTTCTTTTAATGATCTTTACAGATAAGTGGGGTGGGGGGGGGGGGAGTATTTATCCACACAGGCTACCACTCAACAAACTAACAGATGCTAACCAACTCTAAGCCACTTCAAACAACTCAAACTAACCTTCCCGAACACAGTAACATAATATTACAGCACTGACTTTTGTTTAATTTTGTTATGTGCAGCTCTTTGTAACAAAGACAGCAAGTTTTTTGGCATGCTTAACACAATGGGACTTGTGACACCACCTCACCGTTAGTCTCTATTTCCCCCCTCTTAAATGCATGTCTCTATTGCAATGTGTGAGCAGTTGTTACTGATATTTATCTCATTTTGATAAAATAGGTTGTCCGATTCCTGTGGCAGATGACCCAAATAATATAGTTATTCCGGAACAGAAATCTACAGAGCGATTTGTTCAGTCTCTCATATGTTGTGGAAAATGTTACAGTGTATAGTGGATCCCGCTCACTTCCTCTATTTGTAGGAAATCAAACTTGGAAGCAAAGAGATGAGAGTTTTAAAGTGAAGCCAAGCATGAAAGTAAGAAATTGTTTCTGTCCAATGATTGTCATGTTTTCAGTTGATGTAGTTCTAATGTTATCACAGAGAGAATGTGATGAGGGCCTGGATTGAACCCCATATATGTGTTTCTTTTGTTTTGAAATGAAAGTACTTTAAGTAACATCTTAATCTTGAGACCCAGAAGTTTGAAATGCTAATTCACTTAAGTGCTATACTTATTTGGAACAAGCTTCACCAGAAAGACAACCTATGGAAGATTTCCTTATTTTTCGTGAAGTGATTGAGAGAGTGAGATATATATTTGGAGTTTCCCCTTGAATTTATTCTAAAAGACTTTCGTTCAAGCTTTTCGTTGGTTTCAAATTTCCCTTAATTATCTGATGCAGCCCAAAAATTTAGGAGCTGCATTTATGAATTGTGGAGGGTATGATTTGTATACCCATCAAAGAAAAAAGTGAGAGTGAAGGAATTGATCATGTACATTGTTCACTTCCAGAAATATAATCTTATGTTTAGGTGCATTGTGGTTTTATGCCAAATGGTGGTGCAGAAATGGCTAAGAAAGATGTTGAATACGTGAAGAAGTGTCGCTTTGTGGTTGCTTCTGGCATTTTTGACGGATATGATACACCTCACCAACCATCCAACATAAGTGAGCGATCTCAAAAACTTTTTTGCTTTCTTATGACAGTGGATGAAGTGTCCCTTGACTTCATCAAGAAAAATGCTACAGTCAGAAAGGATAATGATGGCGGATTGTGGGTGGGTATTTGGCGTCTAGTTCTACTAAAAAACCCACCATACGATGAGTCTAGGAGGAATGGAAAAGTTCCTAAGATATTGACCCATCAGCTATTCCCTCAAGCACAATACAGCATTTGGATTGATGGTAAAATGGAGCTAATTGTTGATCCATTGCTTATACTTGAGAGGTACTGTGATATTATACAATTACATGTAGTATGATGAATTATCTTCATTTATATATTGCTCCTTTTCAATACTAGCATGAGAGACGATGGTTAAAAAACTGAATACTTAAACTAAGAAATTATATTTATTTAGGAGTATTTATCTATTTATTTACTTATTTATTATTTATTTATTCATTCAGTCATTCTTAACTCCAAAAACAAAAATGAAAAGATTTGTTTGACTAATGTACATATTTTTCATGGAGTACGTATAATTTAGGTACAACATTCATATATCATAAATCATACCTAAATATTTTTGTTAATTTATGTGTTGATTTAACCAAGTTCATGATATGTAACTTTTTTTGTGAATCTTTCAGGCACTATTTTTTTGGCTAATTACATGCAAAATTATTCTTTTGATCAACTTGACTCTTTTAGGGCAATTTTAAACATGAATTTTTCAGTATATATTGAGGTTTCTTTTTTGCATTTTCTTGTTTCACGAACTATTTATTAATTATTGCTGTCTTATCTGTTGGAACTTTTTCCATGTTGTTTTCCGAGTCAAATATTTCTTGTGTCTTCTAATCCCTTCTCACATAAGTGGAATTGTTTGCCTGTTGTCTGAAGCTGAGTCACTCCCATTTTTTACATTGTGTGATTATAGCGACTAAACTATAGTAATTGTTTTTGTTGTGTCTTTAGATACTTATGGCGTGGCAAGCATACCTTTGCCATTGCTCAGCACAAACATCATCGGAGTATATATGAGGAAGCTGATTCAAACAAACGGAGAAAGCATTATGCTCGACCACTCATTGATCTTCAGATTAGAATATATCGTTATGAAGGAATGGAACCATGGAGTCCAAAGAAGGGCATTGTCAGTGGTGAGTGAGTGAATTGACGTCTATGAATGAATCAAGTATGCAAAACTAAAAAACTAATTTGTCAGTCAGTTTTTTTATTTTGAAAAAATGCTAACCTAAAAACCAAACCATTTCATTTAAGATGGTTTTCGTTTGGTTTTGTCAGTTATGGTCTCTTATGGTTGGCTTTCAAAGCCTAAGCCATCTAATCCTCAACATTCCTTTCCTTTGCCCCCCCCCTCCCCCCGCCTCTTACCAAACACAGCCTAAACCACAAATCAAACCACCTATGGTGTTTGACGATTCGACATGAGGGTAAGAATGGTTTTATTGTGTTGCCTTTCTGAGATATCTCACGTACACATGTTATGGTGTGATTGTGTAGATGTACCTCAAGGGGCTATTATAATACGAGAACACACTGCATTGAACAACTTGTTTAGTTGCATATGGTTCAATGAGGTTAACCTATTCACACCAAGAGATCAGTTGAGCTTCGGTTATGTGGTTTTCAGACTCGGGGGCATCTTCAAAGCGTTCATGTTCCCCAACTGTGAGTACAACTCCATCTTCATTTTACACCCTCATACCCGCGAGCATTCATCTAAAGTGGAGTGGGTGAAATCATTGGATGAATTTAATAAGGGAGGTTTGAAAGAGAGTTGGGGAGGGTTTGGTTTGTGGACCCATTACCCCAAGAATCTGAAATCAGTTGTATTACCGTCTGTAACCAGAAAATCAAAAGCTGGATGATCTTATAATGATTTCAT